GCGGGGCGGGGCGGGGCGGGGCGGGGCGGATATCTTTTGAAGTGACGCAACGCACGTGCGGAGCTTGCACACTGCAAGACCCTCTCTCGCGACGCCACAGGTGCGACGCGTCGTCGGAACCCATTCTGCTGACGACGCAGTGGATCGCCGTCGAAGACACCACCAGGAGGACATCCCCAGAGAGACGACTACGTTTGGCAGCAGGTGAGAATCGTTCCAGCAGAGGCGCACCGAGACAAACGGGCCGGTGAAAGGCCGGCTGGCCCTTCGTCTCGCAGCTAGAAGCCATTAGGTCCCTGCGCCTGCTGGCCTGGCCCACCGTGCGGGGCGCCGGGGCGCGCGGTCACTTTCTAAGTCCGGGCCGCATCACTAGCCGACGCTCGCAGTGTCTTGCCGGGGCAGCGTAAACTCGACCAAAGGGAAGGGCGGGCGGGGCGAGCACGAAGGCCGCCATGCCATGATCGCCGCCAAACCTGAGGCGTGGCGGGGCGTGGCGGGGCGGGGCGGGGCTCCGCACTGATCTCGTATCGGATCAGTCATTTGCATGAGGCCAGGCTGATTGCGCCTTGGACCCGGCCAGCCAGACGGACGGACGGACGGGACTGATCTTACAGTTTCCGAATCGAGGTTCCCAATAAAACAAACGCCGCGTGGTCACTCTCAGTCCCAGTCCGGCGGCGCCGCGCGCATGCCGGTGGGAACACGCTCGACGCCGACCAGCAGCAGGCCCGCATGGAGCTCCGGCAACCGCCCGTGGATAGAGCCCAGCGACAGCGCGGGGCGCGGGGCCAGGCACTCTGCACTTGTTGGGAAAGTCGCGCCGCCCAAGGAACATACCCGCCCCTCAAACCCTCCGGCCCCCTCGCACCCATTAGCGCATTCACAGGGGCCCTGCCGCCCGCATCGCCCGCCTCGCCCCACACCCCGCCGCTCCACAATAAGTCATGTTCAAGGCTCCCGCCGCGCCGCCCGACTCATATCCGCATTCGCAACTACGATCGCTATCACCGGCGCGAGATACGCGCCAAATAATCATGTCGTTACTGATTTATTTCCGAGCAGAGCGCACGCAGCAGACCACCACGCGGGCTCGTCTCCGCGTGTCTGTTATACTGTGTTTGTCTCTCTCATTTCATATCGATCTCGACTGCGAGTAAATCGATCCCCACGGAGCCCGCTGATGAGTGCGCCGCACACGGCCAGTACGCCGTGGAACGCCCCGGGATTAATCCCGCCGGCCGGCTCCGTCAACATTTACCGAGAGTATTGAGCCGCTTTAGCTATTCAGTGCCGCCTCGCTATTCCCGTCGGGGAGCAGGGCGAGGCGAGGCGGCACGCCCTCCGCAAGCCCCGCCGCGCCCCGCCCCGAGAGTCTCAAGGTGAATATCAGTAGAGCCTAGTCGAGCCAGGAGCAGAGGGGCAGGGCGGGGCGGGGCGCTGGGGCGTTGCCGACACGAGGAGCACTAACTGCCAGTCAGTTCCGCCATCAGAGACCCGACCCGCCGCGGCGCCGCGACCGTCGAGTTATGGCAGATTAAACTACGCCTGCAGCTTAGGCAACGCTTGGCGGGGCTGGGCGGGGCGTCCGGCAGAGGAGTGTCTCTTTGCACGGCAGGAACGGGCAAGCAGGCGGCCTGCGAAGGCACCAGCTGACAAAGCCGCTAACGCGCCAAGGTGCCGTGCAAAGCGCGAGGCGCGAAGAGAAATCTACAGCGCTGCTCCGGAGCGCGAGAAAAAAATGAGAAAAAACAAAATATAAAGGACCGCGCTTCTGTTCTGCTCGGCCCTACGCCTCCGAACGCTTGGTCCACCTGCACCGCGGCGGCGGAGGGCCGGAGGGCCGGAGCAGTCCACCCGCGTCCTCTTTGCGGCGGCCGTCGAACAGGGTCGTCGGCGAGGTTCGCGGCCGCGCCCCGTCACCATACAGCGCCACGCCACGCCGCCACGCGCCTTTTCTCCCCACTCACTCTCCAGCCGCCGGGCCGGCGCGGTTATGCAACGCCCATCAGCTTGCCGAGTCGCGCGCAGACACAATGGCACACGAGGCCGCCCCCGCGCCAGAGTCGGGCTGTGACAAGACCAGATCTGTGTGCCCCCCCCCC